ACTACGATATTTCACAATTTTTCAATTATTATAGGAAAAATCTGATCTTCTGACTGTAGAACCGGTAAATCCATAAAATTCCATTTTATCTTTTCGGATTACGATCCTTTGGAGTTGAAATCGATTCGCGTGGTCGGTTATCAATCGGCCGTCAGTTTGAATACGAGGAACGTGGCCCGATTGAAATTTCGCAGCGGCACGTTCCAAGTTTCTCGGCCATTTCGAAAGTGGACGCGCGATTAATACATGCTGGTTGTCCCCGTAGCGTGAATTCAACCAAGGCGCTAGGCCAAACTGTATTGACAACCGTGTCACGCTGGCCGAGATAAATGCTCGAAAACTAGCTTCGATATGATATCCACGAATCGGTCCGCGCCTTTACGTAACCATGCTGAAAGCTAATTGCGTTCATTGATTATTCGACGGTTAAATGCTTAAATTAAATTATAATGTTAATTATGATTTATGCGATAATTAATGCTTATCTTTTTTTCAATTGATTAGATATATCTAATTATATTCTATTGCGAGTATAACACGAGTAAGTACAAATAAGTGGTGATTTTTAAATTGTGAGGATTAAGGGTTCTTTTAAATCGAAGATATATATATATATATACATAATTTGGTGAAGTTAAATAATGTTAAATACTTTTTATTTACTGTCAATGTATACGATACGTATGAAATATCATTTCTTCAAAGTTTGAACTTGACGGCCTAATATAAGGCCATTAAATTGTGTATTGATGATCAATTGTTACCAAGAATATAGTTGAAGAAGAAATTTGAATGATATCGAATATTAACAGAGTTTTAAAAATATAAAAATATTTTTTATTATGAATCGTTGCATGAAGAAAATATAACATTCTTATCTACGTTGTTTTAAAATTTTCTTATTTATAAAGAAATTTTATCACGATATAAAATTCTTTCTTAACAATTTGTTTTATTTTCAAAATTTTATCTCTTTTAAAAATTATTGTTGTAAAACCTTTTTTCAATCACAAGGAAATGATGAACTCGGATAAAAAGGGGATAATAATTTCTCTCCTAACGAACGTGCATCTGTTCCTTTTTCTAATACGTGCATATTAAAAAAAAAAAAGGGTAACAAGATAGAATTAAAAAATTATTTCTAATAAAAGGCGTTGTTTCCATGTTTAATTTTAACTATTTGTTCCGATAAGAGTTTACAACCGTCATACAACATATTTTTTTCCCTGCTCTTATTTTGCAACACAGTTATGACATCAATCACAGTAAACTGTTTTCCGTCCATATAATCGATTTCTCGTAATTCATGAATGGTTATCATTTTATACGCGAGAGATTTATGGTCTTTGTGCATGGCTTTACGAGCTGCGAAAACAGAAACATCTGTTCCTTGTGTCAATATCCTCATTAACCCGGAGCTTCTGTATACCGTGGCAGGGATTTCTGGCAATCTGTCTTTCGTTTAAATTGCATTTATCGATTATTCTTCATATCGTGAACAACAATATTGAACAATATTGCACGGTCGTGAGATTGAAAGAAAAAAATTTCCCTCGTTTCTTCCAATTTTTAAATATTCGTATCCGAAAAAAAAAAAAAAGAAAAAATGTGTGAATGATAGGACGAGTGTGATATTTAATATTTGTTGAAAAATAGAAATATCGATTAGGAATATATTTACATTTATTTCTGCCATTAAAAATTTGTCTTTGAAATTTTTTAGATAAAAGTTGAAATGTTTATTCATACTCATATTTCGTACTTTACGATTTTTAAACTAGAAAAAATTTTTGAACGATGTTCCATCGGTTGGAAATCAAAATATATAAGAACAGAGAACAAAGTTTGTCACGAACATCTTAAAAACTGTATTATCAATCGGAAATAATCGTGATGAATAAAAAAAAAAAAAAAAAAATACCGCTTTCTGTATGTATACATCCATAGACAATTAGCGAAATTATTTCCAATAACGAGGCTTGCTAATTCGATGCAAATTGATGGCATTGCTTAACAATTCATGCACGAATTGAGTTTCGTTATTTCGACCTCGATCGAGAGGAACGTATTTGCCTACGCGGCGTCGTTGATTGAGATGGAATTCGAGTACGGTACACGCACAACGCTCGTTTATTTTATAGTCGAGGCACGTTTCATAGATCCAATAAGAGATTGACCCGATTTTTACTGTTCGTTCACAATTGCTTTCGAACCGTGGCCGTTACCGACTTTCCACCGCGGAAGATGAACCATCCTCCGAGGCAGAAAATTTAACTTAGAGATATTCTTAGAGATATGAAACGCAACTCGGTCGATAAGTTAATCGGATAACAAGGTAGATGCGCGAAATTTCGTTGCATTGCAGATGCTTTCTAACCATGCTTTTTTCGAATCGCAAGAAACTTGAAGTAAGAATGTTTCTTCTAAATTTTCTAAATTTGATGCGTCCAATTTAAATTTTATAAGATTTGATTCTAATCATTTGACTCGATTAATATATGTCGTTTCCAATCATCTAATTTTGTAAATTTGTAATTTTAACAAAGAAATTTTGGAAAATTCAAATATAACAATTCTCATCATCGAACAAAAAAAAAATTTTTCCATAAGAATCTTTGCTCGATTCTCTTCAATCTATTTTATCTTTACGAAGAAGTGGAAATTTTTGTTCGATCAAATCGGAGGAAAAAAGTTTTTCATTGGCACGATTCGAGTTTCGAACTTTTCAAAGGCTTCAACAAATCCAATTTAGTTGAAAAATATTTCCAGTATTTTTCGTTATATTTGACTGTTTTCTTTTTTTTTTTGCAAAAAGAAAAAACTTATATCGAAAAATTTCAAAAAAATTAAAATTTCAAGCTCTTTTTTTTCTTAAAAGGAATGAAAAAAAAAAAAGGGAAAACACTATTGTTTCTTGATGATAAAAATCTTGCGATAAGAAAGAATTTCATCATTTTATCATTTTGATTTGCGTTAGTAAATAATTTCTATTTACTTCGTTTCATTTTTTTTTTTTATTCATATAGTATCTATTTGTATTGCAAACAATTTTTTTCATTTCTTCTTTTTTCTCTATTATGATCAAGATTTCTAAGATCATTAAATATAAATCTAATAAAAATAATTTCATTTTTCATAATGATATGATAATAAAAAAAAATCTCATAAAACATTAAATAAAATGTGTAACTTTATTATACTATATTATAATTACGCGAATGAAAACAGTCATAAAAAATCAAGAAATACAATTTTTATAAACAAAAAATAACATTCAGAAAAAAAGTAAACAAAATTTTAAAAGTTGTTTATATTTATCATTTGAATATCGAATTTCATTCTATAAAAAAAATATTTAAAAAAATACTAGAACTCAATCAGTTATATTTACTTTACAAATATTTCGTTTCTACGTAATAAAGTTTTTATCTAAAAATCCAAGTTTTTGCTGATTAAAGTATCAGTATGTAAATATGTAATAAAATAAATAAGATCCCTATGCATCAAAATTGTAAATATTAAAATGAAAATAATTAAATCGTATTAAATTTATTTATAATAAATTTCTATAATTTTAATGAATGAATTTTTTATTATCAGATATAAAATTCAGTTAAAAATATAAAATTCTGTAAATCATTATTTAATTAACAAAAAAAAAAAAAGTTTTAATACAAAAAGAACTTTATAATTAAAGTCTTTATACATCTGGTCTTCCATTATTTTTTTGTATAAAAGACTATTTATCAAATTACTCCAAGTGGTTCAAAAATGGTGTATACCGTTATAACTAACGCCCTCTGTAATACGAAACTACAAAGCATTTCATACATTTCTCAAGGATGATGTTCCACTTGCGATGAAAAGGTAGCTTAAGCGAGATAAAATAAGGTTTCATTTTTGTTTTTTAGTCCATCACGGAAATGTGAAGTTCCGCCTAGATTTTCTGTCATCTCGAAAAATGGAATAAAATTTTTCGTGACAATCTTTGTCCTCTTTTCTCTCTTTTTTATTTCCTTTTTATCACTTTTCTCAAACAGAATCATAGCAGACAGTACACATATAATATCTTTATTAATTTTTTCTATTTCTGTCGTGATTATAATTAATCAAAAATTTTTTACGAATGTATTGAATTTTCTAACTAATTAACTAAACTAAAATAAAAAATATACAAGATGCTTTAAGTATTCTCATATTTTTCTTTCTTATTTCCTAGAGTTTCCATAAACTTTCTTCTTTATTCCTTAACCTATTCCACACCTCATAAATTTTCATCTCTCGCTTAATATCCTACGTTACCTAATTTATAATATACTATACGGTACTTTTAGTAAAAGAATTCAATTAACAATAAGTCTTTTTCTTGATCTATCTATAACTATATTATAACCTATAATTTATAAAAATTTGATCTAAAAATTCTTATATTTCGTTTTTATATATTCTTATATTTGTATCTGTAATCAATCCTACGTATAAAAATATCCTACGTATTTAATAATACTTTATTATATATTTAATAATGAATCAAGTAAAAAGTAAGTTAGTAAAAAACAGATTTTTTTTTAATATGGCACATTGATTTGTAATAAAAGAAAAATTGTAAAATATACTTTAAACAAAGATATTTCATAAAAGAAGGAAAAAAAATAGCCTTAAATCAAATATTTAATAAAATTGTATTTTTCTCACCATGTCTATTCTTCACTAATTCTTGTCCTTTTGTTGAGAGTTCGAGATGGAAGGAAGATCGCATTATTTTCGAGGATAGGTCAAGCATTTATGATAACCGTATTATCGTCTCGTCTCATAAACTTGTTTCGCGTAGTTTACGAGCATGCGAATCTTAACTGTCCTGTATCAAGTATTCCGCGAAATAATGATCGAACTACTTTGCAGAATTATTATATAGCTAATTATTAAGATTTATGAGGAAAATCACATTATCGGTACACGATAGCAATCAATATTGAGCGAGCACATTCTTCACTTCGATATCGAATCAAATTTTATTCTTGAAAATTGGTTAATTTTTATCACATTTAATTTTTTTATAAGAAACTGGTTCAAACAGTTAAAGGTCGAATAATATTTGGAACACAATTCCTAGATTTTTTATCACTAAACTTGTCGTTAGAAGAAGTCATATAAAACACAATTTTCATTCCTACACTTGTCACCAAAAGAATTCATATGAAACTCAATTTCTACTCCTACTTTTGCCACCAGAGATATTCACATAAAACACAATTCTTATTATTACACTACCACCAGAGAAATTCATACGGAACACAATTTCTACTTCTATATTTGTCACCATATATGAATGTTCAAGTTTAACGTTTCATGTCTACTTTGACGTCATTGGTTGAATACGCAACCAATGACAATAAGGTATCGTTCCTACTAATTGGAGACTTGCGCCACCACTCAAAGGATTCGCGAAAGCAAAATCCGTTAGAAATTATAAGAAAGATTTTGGAACACACCGATCTCTTTTGTGGAATATACACTAGAGGGATCCACATCGAATATAATTCGTACTTTTTACTTCTCATTGAAGCAGTTTCACATGGAAGACAATTTCGAACTGAACTGTTCTTTTTCATAAGTGCATCTTGTAACCTAATTTCTACTATCCTAGAGTTTAAAGTATAGGTTCGTTGAAAATGGTTACTCATCTGTAAGTCTAAAATGAAATTCTTTCTCTATTTTTTTCTTTTTTTCTTTAATATTAATTGTAATTTACTTTTGAAAAAATAAAATCTTTTCGAAACAATACATATCAATGTTTCAAGATAATTTTTACGAAGATTGTAAAGTTTTCTGAACATGACTGATACGAAAACTATGGACATATAGGATTTTATTATAAACAAGCTATTCCATTTTGAAAATTAGATAAGTAAGATTTATTATTTCTTTAATTTATTATACTCCATATCACATTCAAAAATCAAATGCTTTAAAATTTCAATTTTTAATTAGAATTTAATTTCGGAATAACATTCGGTCATCCATAAATCTCATTATTCAGCAAGTTTAGCTGAATACATTCAACATGTTAGATTTTATCATATATATATATATCTTGAATATACATTATTATCCATTTCTATTATAGAGAACAATCGTAATCACTCTATCTTTAGATATTTCGCATAACTGATTAATATCTTAAGTACATTTCATAGAATATATTTGAATGAGAATATTCTCATTAATCAAAAACTTTTTCTGTACAGCAGAATTTGTACGAAATCCTAGTATCATAATTTATAAAAATATGACGTATATTTTTAACGTATATATAGAAGTTTCTTTAATAGCATGAAATAACCATTGAATTATTTATATCGTCCGACTTTTCGAAAAAATTCAAGAATATTTATGTTACACTATTTACATTGTAAATTTTTTCAACTTTTTGAAAGATTTTTATCTCTTTTATCGTAGCAAATGTCATCGCGAAAATTTTATGATTTTTCGAAACAAAACCGTTCAATAATTGAATACAAATTTTCATTTCTTATGCAGGTAAAAGGTTAAATGTACGCTATCGATTTCACGACTATGAACTCATCTACATATCTCTCTTACGAAAAGCTAGTGCGGACTAACCCTTTGTTGCACTTGAAATATGCCAGAAGTGCTGACACGGACATTAATTTTACCAACTCGGTATATCAATTGTACTGGACACGAATATCTTTGTATCCTTACATTATGCACAATTAAATGAAGACATCCATCTCTGGAAAGAGGTTAAAGACTACAATGTCTAATCTATATTTGCTATCAGGAAAATTTACACCAAGGAATTTCTTGAAAAAAATCCTTATCTATATCAAAACTACCCACTCGGAATATCTATTATCTATTATCATATCTGTCTACCAACTTATCTATTATCTAATGCAATATTCCATTTATACAAGTATAATCTGGTTTATAGTAACATGTAACAAAGATGGTTCTTCATGATTCCTAGTGGTTCCTAGTGATTTAAATAAAATTTGATAGCACATTCTATCTCTTATCACACACTAAGATAAGGAATAATTTTATTTTATCTTATTATAGAGCTCTCTCTGACAATCTAACAAAGAATACTTTGTGCTCCTCGATTTCAATCAAGTTTAGCCGAGGAAAATATACAAATATAAAATTGTAAAAGACTATATGTACATTCACGAGAAATCTTCGAGAGGTGAGTTAACATTTAACTCGTTCTTTTCAAACATCTGAAAAATTAAATTTACGTTTTCAGCTCGATTTTTCGACTCAAATAGACACGTCAAAAGTTATATGAAATAGAAGAATCACGAGAGAAATAAATTTTTCGAAAGTTTAACAACATTCTGAACAAACTTGCAAGATCATAATGGTCTTTACAAAGATTTTCGCATGTGTTATATTCAAGGCAAAGTAAAAATGCACATAAATATTTCAGTGTTTTTGCTTCCTTCTATTTGTTCTTTTCTTCACGATAATTATTGAGACTAAAACGTTTAAACAGATATGTATAAGAATAGAAATGTGTAATGACAGAGGAATTATTCATTAAAGTCAGAAATTTTTATTTTTTTTTTTTTTCTTTTTCAAGAGACTATCTCATAAAGTAGATCATAAATTTTCTGGTTAGATAATATTAAAAGTTTATTTATTTTATAAAATTCTAATTCTCTTTTACATACACATACACATTTCTGTTCAACTATTAATATCTTTAAACTCTATCTTCTTATCTAAAGAAGTCTTTCTTTCCATGCCTAAAAACTTAAAAACCATGGATAATTAAATTTTAATGCTCGATTAATTTCATACTCTTGCTATTAGTAGCAAATAAGACACTTTATATCGTCTTATTCTTTTCCAAGAAAAATTATTATAGAAAAAAAAAAAAAAATAATGCGAGCAAAACCAACATATACTATGATTTTCAAACAAAGAAATGTTACACAGTGAAAGAGCAACTACTTTGTTGAATCTACCAAGTTCGTACATACTTCACACAAGTTTGGCTGTGAAGTTTCCGCCAATTCACACGCCCATACGCCCCAAGTTAAACTTTGAGGTCAGACTAATTTTATGTCTTCGCTATATCACGGAGAATACTATGTGTTTCATCAGATACTGTGGCTGAAGTTCCAAGTCTCGAATCTTTAGACGGCTAAATAGCTAAATTTTGACGTCTGACCGATTTTATGACTTTTGATATAAGAGAAAGTTGTAGACAACGTTCGTAAAATGTGCTTGGACACTGAACGTGTTTTGTTGATAAAAAGCCAGATAGGATAAAAAGAAGTAGTCTGGGCAGCAGTAAAAGTCTTAAGTAGCCCTGTCACAGTGATAAAACGATGTGATGAAGTATAGCTAGTAACAGTACGCTTTAATTTACTCTCTACCATTTCATGCAGTAATCTTGAAGACTCTATGAAGACTTATCTAGCTTGTATCCAGAATTATCTTTGATATTATAATATATATGTTCATTCTTGAAAATAATTAAAAAATTAAACGATATTCGATCTTATAAGAAGTACAAATTAACATCGATTTTTAATTTTTTTTCTTCACATTTAATTTCACGATAATTCCCCCCTCCCCCGTATTCGAAACTGAAGCTTTGTACCGTATATTTTCGAAATACATACCTTTTTCACTTTTTTCAAATTGTCCACACCTGTTATCAATCCCGAACAATATAGCTTTTCAGATATAATATAGGAACAGATCCATCGCCACGCTTCACCGCCTCGATTCTCGTTATCGAGTGAAAAAATCTCGAATCTCGGTCGGTACGGCCGATATTGGTCGCGTCGATAAGTGCGATAATATTTGTTGCGTTTCATATCGAGTGTGCCTCGTGTTGCATCTCTTATGTACTTCTCTCCTACCTTTCTCTCATCCTCTCCTATCCGGTGAGAATTTTAAAATTAGACTTTAAGGTCAAACGTTGGTAGCTGTCGTCATCGTTGTTCCTGACCTAGACTCGCTGGGGTGTAAACTTTGCCACGCAGAGGTGTAAACGGTATAAGGTGCGAATGGGAAAAAAAGAAAGGAAAGGCTCGATTTACTACACGCTCGACGTAAACTCACCCGTGTAGAGGAGGCGACTGGCCATGACGTAAGAGTGGGGAGGAGGAGAAGCATCGTGGCACGCGAGCGTTTATGTTAAAAAGAGACCATTATATACCGCGGTTTCGCGACGTAGACGTTGCAACGTAAGAGAATCGTCGAGCGTCATTAAGCATGCGCGTTTAAACGTTCGGCCGAACGAATTGACAGAAATATCGCGTGGGAACGGTGTTGCGTTCGAATATTTAGAGATAAATTACAGACATTACGGGTGTAACGTAAGAAAAATCGTTTGCGTGTTGTTGTATTCAACCGAATTGACGGAAACTCGTATTATACGAGCACGATATTGAACCGACCGCTAATGTTGCTAGTTATTAGTGAAATTTGAATGTTTGCGTTAAAGATAGACGGTGTAAATTACATACAACGTAACAAAATTAATTGGACGCCATCTTCAGCGATACTTTTGTCGATATTTTAGATTGAAGCATTTGCATGCTTGATATTGGAATGAACGTGTATTACAGCGTATCATAAGATATAAAGACAGTGCTTTTTAACCATGACTTTCATAAAAAGATGAAACAAGATAATATTAATCATGTTTTTTTTATAATTTATTAGGTTTCGGTTGAAATATAACCCCAAGTTCCGTACCTCGAAGGGATTGTAACTTCGAATCCAAATGAGATTTCTTCTATTTTCCCTCGTACGATGATATGGGAAGATAAGGGTCTGAAAGGTCAGTCCAAGGGACTGTACGTAAGTGCAGTGGCCTCTACGATGATACTACGGGGAGGTATCTTAAATTAACTCTTTATGCGACTAGCTTGTGACTGGTCATGGATTCACATGACGCACGCACATTGACCAGCACGTGGCAATTATAATACGATCTCGCTCGCGTCACGTTCCCGAGAAGATGAGATTTAAACGTTGATAAAATTCATTGATAAAATTTACCACGCTTTTCCTCCCCCTTTTTTCTCACAAATGTATCTCCTTAGTAAAATCAATTAATTAATTAATTAGAAAGAATTAAGAAAAAAAAAAAATAGATCAGGGAAAAATTTTTTTGAAAAAAACCTTTAAATCATATATTGGAAAGAATCGAACGATAGATGGAGTGCGTAATCTCGTCCAGCCGACGATTTAAACGTATGAAAGGAATAGACGGGAGAATTTCTCGCGGTAACAGAGGGAATTGAGAGAGCGACAGGGAGGGGGAGGAGGGCGAGGTTAAATGGTTGCATCTAGGGCGGTTCTCTAAAACGGAATCCTGACGTCGGAGAGCCGAGCCAGAATCGAATTGGCAAGGGTCTTGCGAATTTACAAAATAAAGTGTGCACGATACGATGCGCGTCTCGATTTGGATTTAAAGATACGGGACGGGACGATTCAAAATAGATCGAATGGGATGGATAGAGGCTTTATACAAGGCACGTAAAATATTGATGATTATTTTGAAGCACTTCCAGATCCTTGACATTTTGGTCATCGCTTGGCGGATAATTGGATCGAATTTTTCGGAAGCGAAAAAATCGCAAATTCATTTGCAAGAATTCGAAGTGTATCTTTTATATTTTTTTTTTAGACGATGAATCATCCTTGTTGGTGCTGAATCAGAAATGTATAAAGTTCGATGAATAAACGAAAGTTTTTGCTTAATCGCTAAACAAATTAGAATTTTATTACCTTGAAAAAAAATAATCAAGAGATTTATTATTAAAATTAGAAAAAGTGACGCGTTCTATGCGGAAACAAAAGTGTATATGATTGTTGAAAATTTATCGATCGATGGTAAGAAAAGGAAAAAGTTTTCGTTCGAAAGAAAATCAATTGATCAATTCTTTTTTTTTTTTTTCTTTAAACAACTCGATGACTCTTAACTCGTTGTGTATATATATCTGCGTTCTACGATTAAATTTTTTATTAAATTTCAACGTGGATCTTATATCGCACGTAGATGCAACGATCGAACGACCGATTTCACATTGGCCACCGAAAGCAACCACGACGATTTTACAATTCAATCGTAAATTTTTAAAATTTATCAAACGTATAATTAATCTTTTACGGGGAGATTAAAATAAGAAACAGTATTCATTCGTATTTTTTTTTAACTCAAATTTTTCCCGAATCAGAAAGAACGGAAAAATCGTTATCCTCTCTTATTATTATCGCCAACGATGCGAGTAACCACGAGACAATGGCGAGAAGGAAGAGCAACAGGGGGGATGTTGAATCAGAGGCGGTATCGAAGAGGATTTGTAAAAATTTGATTAGCAAGCTGATCTCCATTCGAGTCTCTCTCTCTCTCCTTTGAACTCTATCCGCATTAATACCGCGCCACTGTTGCCCCTGTTTCTCAAATGCACTTTGAGAAACATCTCTCCAAGCCAGGGAGAATCGTTCGAAACGCGATTTGTCGATTCCATTTAAAATCACTTTGAAGGTTTCGAAAGGGAAACGATATTTGCCCCGCAACAATCGTTTGCGGATGCAACATTTATGGATCTATCGATCTCTCCAATCTCGTTATTCCAAATATTACACGAACCATTTACATATTGGACACATCGCAAGGCTTAACCCTTTGCACTCCGTTCGATGAATCAAATTAACGCGCGAAACTTTTACATTTTGATGTATCTTTACGTGTAAAGAAAGAAAATTTGAATATTAAAATTTTGTTTCTCATATTTTATTACGTCTCTATTTACCTTCTCCCTTAACGAATATA